CCTGTCAACCTTCTCTTGCAGAGGCTGAAGAGGGCCAGGTGCCCTGGTCTCTCCTCATAGGGCTTGGCCTGCAAGCCCTTAATCATATGAGTGGCCCTTCTCTGGACCTTCTCCAGGTTATCCATATCCCTCTTGAAGTGTGGCACCCAAAACTGCATGCAGTATTCCAACTGGGGTCTGACCAGTGCCCGATAGAGGGGAAGTATCACCTCCTTGGTTCTGTTTGTCATGCATCTGCTGATGCACGATAAAGTGCAGTTAGCTTTTCTGATGAACGTGAGTTGTCAGTGTGACAAAAGTCATCTTAGAGTCCACTAGGACTCCAAGATACCTTTCCACTTCCGTGCTACCGAGCAGGTCATTTCCTAGGCAGTTGGTGTGCTAGACATTTTTCCTCCCTAGGTACAGCACTTTGCATTTCTCCTTGTTAAATTGCATTCTGTTGTTTTCTGCCCATTTGTCCAACCTGTCCAGGTCTGCCTGTAGTTGTTCCCTGCCCTCCGGTGTGTCAACTTCTCCCCACAGTTTTGTATCATCCGCAAACTTGGACAGAGTACACTTCACTCCCTCGTCCAAGTTTGTTTTACTTAGTTAATGTAAGATTTCTATTCTGTTTTGGAGCCATGATACAGTAGACACAAAAATGCTGTTTGTGTCACAGTTACTTTAAGGTAATATTGTCCTAGTTAAAATCTTGGTCCTGAAAATACTACTACAAGTGCTGAACTCCATTCCTGAGTAGTCCCACTTTAAGCATGTACATGTTGTTATTGACTTCAAGTTAAGCATTTGCACAGGTACTTGTGAATAAAGGAGAATATAGCACTAGTCTAAGTTAAAAATGAATCATTGCTTTTTATGCATTATAAGGAGACAAATTAATTATTTTGACCACTTGGGAGTAATATGTTTTGCTGCAAAGTTGGTTTTGTTGGCAAGAACCAGGGACCAAGATGTACTAAAAAAGCTCTCCCTTTATCCTGTCCTCTCCCCACTTCTCCCAAAAAAGCTAAAAATACTTCACTGTCCATATCTTTCAATTGTTCTACTGTGTTTTCGTAATGTTATCTGGTAACGCTTTTTACACTGAAATTATGGGGTAAAGAGAAGATACTGTGCTGAGGCACATTTAATTTTCAAGAAACAGCCAAGTAAATCAAATCTAAGTAATACTCCTTTTGCCTGGTACAAACATGTGAGGACTTCCTATAACAAAAACATTTTCTTTTGAAAGTTTCCATTGTTCACAGGAACATGTATGTTCTATGACATAACATGTACATCCCTCTTCTTCCCTTTTTTAGGATCCCTCTTCCCTCATCATGGCACATTTGAAGTGATAAAAAACACAGACATTGATCTAGATAAGAAAATCCCTGAAGATTATTGTCCACTGGATGTTCAGATTCCAAGTGATTTAGAAGGATCAGCCTATATAAAGGTGTGTCAAATATATATAGTATAATTTCTACGTTATTTAAACCCCAGGGAATTGAGCAGAAAAACTCAAAATTATGCAAAATTAATTACTTTTTTTTAACAAATTAAACTAAATACAGTAAAAGCCCTGTTATTCAGCATGAATGGGGAATGCTAGGTGCCAGTTATGTAAAAATTCCAGTTACCTCAGTCACGCAGGGAAGAGGGGGCCGGCAGCAGCCGCACACAGAGTGGAGGCGGGTGGCAGCAGCCAAAAAATGTGGTTAATAGAGTATTTTGGCTTGTAGAATGCTGTATAACACGGATTTTACTGTATAACACTATTTGAGCCTTCTTTAAAAATATATGCAAGTACTTTGTATGGTTGTGGGGTATTTGGAGGGAATTTGTGAAGGTGTGGGAAGGTGGAGTTTGTGGGGGATTGTGAAGAGGGGTGTGTATGGGCTTTGTGGGGAAGTCTGGGTATGATATTGTGTGGGTTTTGCGGGCATGTGGGGAAGTTATGAAGGTGTGGGTGTGGGCCCCCCACCACACCAAACATCCTCCCACCCCTATGGTGCAGAGCCCCCACTGTTGGCAGAGGCAGGCAGAGCCCTCAGCACCTCGCACCTCATGGAGCCCACCCACACGCACCCTGACACCCACCCTCTGCCCCTCGTAGTCAGGAGCTCCCCTTCCCACTTACCCAGCTGTCCAGTCATGAGGCTCTGTGCCTCCACATCATGGGGCTTCTAGCTGAAATGAGGGTCCCAGCATGCTCCCAGCCCCATGGAGGTGGAGGTACAGAGCCCGCCATGGTTAAATGATGCAAAATATTGTGACTGTGCATGATCATGCCTTTTATGCACAAAATTGCATGGGCTCAAAATTGCTTAGTTCCCCAGGGTGTAATTATTCATGTACTGGTATGCAAAATGAGACAAAACAATCTCCTTTTTTCTTGTACAGGTTTCTATTCAAAAGCAAGCTCCAGATATAGGTGACCTTGGCACAGTTAACCTCTTTAAAAGACCTTTGCCAAAATCAAAACCAGGTACCATTTGTTAAATTTCACTCTCAAGGGGTTTGAATTTAATGCTTAATAAGGAAGTATTTGTGGTGGTAGAAAACAAGAACAGAGGGACATTTTCTTATTCTTGATTTACTGGAAATTCTATACTGGATTAAGGTTGAGGTTTTGCAAGTATGGCTCCTTCAAAATGGCTAAATAAATATAATGGTTCTGAAGGTCTAAGGTGTAAATATCATTTCAGTGACTTTCATTCATCCGTTTAGCTGCTGAAGTAAAGCTATTGACTCATTTGTCATTGCCTGCTGAAAATCAAGTGAGATTGCTATTTCAATTTCAATTTTGCACATTTTATTAAATAAATAGACATCTTTGCGTAGGCATTTAGTAGATGAAACCAGGAATGGGATATTGGTTAGGGGTTTTCTGTTTTATATTCATGCTCTGATTTCCCATTTAAGTTGTCTTGTTCTCTTGTTTCTCTGGTTTTACAAGTTTTTTGGGTGGCATATACACTAAATCAAGTATCTTGTTTTAGTTATTACAGTCACAAAAGTAGTTAAGCGGTAATATCTGTGGTTTTGTGGAAGAGGGGCAGAAAGGTGAGAGACTTGCATCTGGGAGCTTCTTGTATATGAGTCACTGCTTTCATGGATTTCATGGACATTAGGGCTAGAAGGGACCTCGGGAGATCATCGAGCCCAGCCCTCTGCCCCAGGGGCAGGAAGTCAGGAGTCAAAGGATCCCAGCAAGATAAACATCCAAATGTCTCTTAAAGGGTCCAAAGTAGGTGCTTGCACCACCTCTGGTGGCAGTCTGTTCCAGGCCTTGGGGGGCTCAGACAGTAAAGAAGTTCTTCCTTATGTCCAGCCTGAAATGGTCTTGGAGGAGTTTGTGACCATTTGACCTTGTCATCCCTTGGGGCGCTCTGGTGAACAGGTGTTCCCCCAGATCCTGATGTACACCCCTTATATACTTGTAGGCAGCCACCAGGTCCCCCCTGAGCCTGTGCTTTTCCAGGATGAAGAGTCCCATAACTTTGATTCTGTTTCAAGTCAAATTTAGATAGATGACATCAATTCCTACCATCACTAAGATTGGGTATTGAATAGTGGATGCTTATAAGTTGGCAGCACAACCTATGTTCTTTTGGTCTCTTGCTGTTCATTAAAGGCAGGAACTGATGAAGTAGTAGATTTTTTTTAAATGTACAATGTAGCAAACTGCACAGAGTAAAGGTGAAGTTAGTGATTGTGTTAATAAATATTGAGCTCATGAGTTATTTAGAAGCTTTATTCTAAATTGGAATTTACTTGATCCAGCAGGTACAGTGCTCAATAGTAAGTACCCTATATCCAACCTCACTAAGTGACTTGCACCATTTTTAAAGGTCTGCATTAGCCAGCTTGTACAATTAAAGGTGTTGATTTTG